CAGTCAGATTCAGCCTTGTTTTGCTGTTTATGGTGGGCCTATTCGATTGTAGCCTCTCATGTCTGCTTGTAATTTTTTTGTTTTGGGAGATGATGGCCTACTGGTATTATCGCTGGCCTGTTAATCCAGAGACACAGATGACATTCTAGAGACCTGGGTTCGAATCCCACCACGGCAGATGGAGGAATTTGTATTCAATGAAGAATTTGGAATTAAGAATCTAATGTTGCCCATGAAACCATTGTCGATTGTTGGTAAAATCCGATCTGGTTCACTAATGTCCTTTTTTTATAAGGAAGGAAATCTGTTGTCCTTACACACACACACACATGTGACCAGGCCCACAGCAATGTGGGTAGTTCTTCATTGCCCCCAGGGAATGAGGAATGGACAATCAGCCAGCAACGCCCTCATCCCGGGAATGAATGAATAAAACATGTTCCGCTGTTGGCAGCCATACCTTCAAGGTGCCTTGGTGCCAGGCTCCAGAGCCCCTTACTCTTTAGCTGTCACCTGTGGCTTAGTGCATAGCACCCTTGCCTCTGAGTCACAATGTCCCCAGTTCAACTCCCACTCCAGGGCCGGAACCAAACAACAAAGGCTGAAGAAGCCCTGCATTGTGTTGGGTGAGACTATAAGAATTAGGAGCAGCAACTAGACCATTCAGCCCATCGAATCTGCTTGAAGAAGTTTCTCCTTGTCTCCATTCTAAACGGATCTTCCCTTTACTTTAAGGCTGTGCCCTTGGGTCTTAGACTCCCCTACCAATGGAAACATCTTCCCAACATCCACTCTGTCCAGGCCCATTCAGTATTCTGTAAGTTTCAATTAGATTCCCCCCTCATCCTCCTAAACTCCATTGAGTATAGACCCAGGTTCCTCATACGTTAAGCTTTTCATTCCTGGTACCGTTCTCATGAACTTCCTCTGAACCCACTCCAGGGCCAGTACATCCTTCCTGAGATATGGGGCCCAAAACTGTGCACAATATTCCAAATGTGGGCTGACCAGAGCCTTATAGAGCCTCAGAATTACATCCCTGCTTTTACATTCAAGTTCTCTCAAAATAAATGCCAAAGTTGCATTTGCCTTCCTAACTACTGACTCAACCTGTAGTGTGGCAGTTGGCAGAGAGACAGAGGTGTGGGGGATCAAGCCCTTGTGGGGAAAGCTCGGGGTGGAGGGACTGCAGGCCTGTAGCTAAAGACGGACCATCATTTGGAACTTTTAACTTTATTTCTTTTTTTGTGACAAGAATTGTAATGTTGAACTTTTAACTTATCTCTTTAGTTTCCTAGTCTTTATGTAGGATTTTGTACCTAGGTACTTGAGCACACATGACAACAATAAACCTAATTCCAATTCTAATCTTTCAGAGATATTTTCCCTGCTTAGATGGGTGTTTTTTTAAAAAAAATACCCCAGGGCGTTGTTTCTTACAACAGCAGGGGAATTATCCTCAGTGAACTGACCCATATTTAATTATCCCTCAAATTGACAACACTAAAAAGCAGAAAGCTCTGGATGATCTCAGCAGCGCTGACAGCCCCCTGTGCAGAGAGAAACAGTTAATGTTGAGTCCGGTGACTCTCCAATCAGGCAAACGGGAGTCGATGGGGCTCCAAACGTTAACTCTTGCTCCTTCTCGCTCTGCAGATGCTGCCAAACCTGCTGAGTTTCTCCAGCAAATTTCTGCTTTTTTGTTTCCGATCTGCAGCTCTTTTGTTGTTATGCCACTAAAAAGTGGGTCACCTTATCAACGCGTTCCTGTCTGTGGGTGCTTGCTGTGCATAAGTTAGCCTCCACATTTCCTGCAGTGACTCCAATTTTGAAAAAAAATGTCGCCAGTTGTAATATACCTGAACGATTCAGTGGTTGAGAAAGGTGCTATATAAATGCATGTCTCTTTCCTTTTTAAACCTCTCTGAGCCCCTCATTCCCTTTAAGCTGCTGTTTAAAACCTATGTCTCTGACCAAGCTCTCTGTCACCTCCCTCATTTCCTAATGTATCTTGTGTCAGATCTCTCTGACTAACCCTAAAGTGAATCATCATGGGACACGCAAGTGCCTCTACTTGAGAAATGGCTCAATACAAATGTAAGTTGTTGCTGTTGGCATCTTGCCATGACCCAGAGAACCGGTTGGCCCTGGGACACAGGAGCAGAAGTAGGCCATTCAGCCCATTGAGTCTGTGGTAACTGCCCCTCCTCAGTTCCCTGTTCCTCTGGCAGCTGCTGACTCGCAAGCAGTTGGGGAGGTGGAGGAGTTTCCAATTGCTGGCAATTTGACCAAGGAGGGCAGCACAAAGTTGCTGCCGCCTGTGGCAATTGGACACGGGTCGAGCCATTCTTCTTCTGCAAACCCTCCGCCCAAATAAGAAAAGTTAAGTCCCGGTTGGGAGGTTTCTGGGCATGTGTTTGCTCTGACTTTGTGTGTGAGCTGAGGTGAACAAATTCAGCAACCAAAGAAAGGTCAGGCTTGGGACTTCTCTACTGTGCAATGTCAGAAAATGTTTGTTTGTCCTTGACTCACTGATACTTTTCCAGAAATATTACAAGACAGGGAAAGAGAAAACATCACCGTCCGAACTCTGCACAAGATTTAACCACCTTCCCCCCCCGCCACTACTTCAACCTGCAACTCTCTTGGACCTTGACCCACTTGCTCTTTTCAGTGGCACTTTTGCTTGGGGCCTTTTTCCTTTTGATCCTTTTGTACGTTAGATTTGTACAAATTCTCCTGCCCAGGACTGCCCCTGTGATTACTAATAGACTAAAGTCTTTGTTTGCATCTCATCTTTCCCTGAGCAGCTTTAGAAATAATCTACATCCGTTTTTAGTGTGTTTTATGTATGTTTGTGTACTTTCTCTTCTATATTTTGCTTTGTTAAACGCCCTCTTGGTTCTTTTTGAAGAGTTTTTTTTATATATCTGTGTGTTGCCATTCTCTTCACTGCATTCTGCCCCTCCCCCTCAAATAAAAGTCCAGCTCCAACCGAAAGCCATGTTTGTGTTGCGATCTCGCAGTCCTCGCTCGTGCAAACCTTCCCGCGTTCGGATGTTGGGCGATCCAGGCCCCTTGGATCTGAGAAAGAAAGAAAGAACTTGCATTGATATAGCACCGCCGCTGCTGCTTGGGTTCGCTGTCCAAGGACCAAGATCCGAACCACACTCCGAGGCAGGCACACCCCATACTGATCTTTGCCACAGGGAGGCACCAATCTGACCCCACCAGGGTCCCAGTTGCTCCAGCTGCGTGTATGCCTTTTCTTTGTTTAGCCAGCATGTTGCACTCCTGTGCTATGGATTGCAATGATCTAGGATCTTTACTCAGAGAGTAGAAAGGGCGTGGAATGCCCTGCCTGCAAAAGTAGTAGACTCGCCAACTTTAAGGGCATTTAAATGGTCATTGGATAAACATATGGATGATAATGGAATAGTTTAGGTTAGATGGGCTTCAGATTGGTTTCATAGGTCGGCACAACATCGAGGGCCGAAGGGCCTGTACTGTGCTGTAATGTTCTATGTCCCCTCCAACCCATGGTCAAGGAATCTCTCTCCCCATTGGTATGCGTCGGATGCGTTTCCAAGGCGACATTCAATCTGGTTACAAACTCTCTTCCCACGGCCTCAAACCCTATTGACCTAGAGGAAGAGATGCCAACCATTGCATCCTGTGATGTCCAACAAAATTTCTTCACTGTCGATTTAATAAGCTGTGGAGAACAGTCAAGTTAAACTCCATATTTAGGCACCTTATGTAAGGGGAGGAAGCCCAGAGAAGGTTCACTTGCTGCTCCTGGGTATGGAAGGACTGTCTTGTGAGGAGAGGTTGCGTAGGTTGGGATGGAAGAATGAGGCAACCTTTATTGAAAGATAAAATTCTTAGAGGCTTTGCCAGAGCAGAGGTGAAAAGGTAGATTTCACCTCTAGGTGAAAAGGTAAGTAAAATTCTGTAGCCACTGTTGTGTAATGAACATTAAATTGAAGTCACGGGATTACTGCGTGTTTGAAGTGTGCCGTCTGATTAATAAACTGATATTTTAATCCGTTCAGTGCTCTAATGTTCTTCTCGGCCACTCTTTCAGTGGAGTCTATCGTGGAGTATATTCACTTGTCATGTAGGAAATTCAACAGCCAATTTGCGCACAGTAAGGTCCCGCAAGCAGCAATGTGGGCATGAATCAGATTGTGTTTTTATTTTTAAAGGTGGCTCAGCGGTTAGCACTGCTGTCTCACAGCACCAGGGACTGTGGTTCGATTCCACCCTCGGGCAACTGTCTGTGTGGAGTTTGCACGTTCTCCCCATGTCTGCGTGGTATCCCTCCGGGTGCTCCAGTTTCCTCCCGCAGTCCAAAGATGTGTAGGCTATGCTAAGCTGCCCCATCGCATTCAGGGATGTGCAGGCTAGATGGATTGGCCATGCTAAATTGCCCCGTAGTATTCAGGGATGAGTGGATTAGGTGGGTTACAGGGGGATGGGTCTGGGTGGGATGCTCTGAGGGTCAGTGTGGACTTGTTGGGCCGAAGGGCCTGTTTCCACACTGTAGGGATTCGATGATGTCTTTGAAGAATAAATCTTGGCAGTGGCACCCATTTTGAAATCAGTGGCCACAGCATCTTTTCGTCCCCCAGCTCAATCGGCAGATAGTACCTCTTTTTGACATCTCGGTAAGAGAAAAGGCACCTCGGGCATTGCAGCACTCCCCCCGCATTACTGCATCGGGGCTGTCAACTTCTGATTGTGTTTCCTGGGCCAGAGTGGTGCCTGCTGCCATGGTGTGTAGGGGGTGGCATTGGGCACTATGAATTCTGGTGTGTGGGCATGCCACACTCCATGTCCCACTGTGATCTCCAGCATTTTTGTTTTGTTTTCAGCCTCTGCAGTAATTTGCTGCTGCTGCAGAGTTAAATGTATTTTTTTTGAGTGTCAGGGACCACTCTCTCCCACCACACTGACTCCTAACGAAGCTGTTCTCTTCTTGTGGTCATGTTTTGCAGCTATCGTCCACGTTGATGGGACCCCCATCAGACTGCAGCTCTGCGATACCGCTGGCCAGGTGAGTGAACAGTATTTATCGCGAGCTTGCACTTTGGTCACTGATCCTCATCATCGGGGTAATGGTTCGCTTTTGATGTTAGGTTATTAGCAGTGCTGGGCTGTGGATTGGCCAGTCTCAGTAAACAAGCTCCCTCATCAAATATTCTGGTCAATCTGAGGTTCACTTTTTTCCTTTATTCATTCATGGGATGTGAGGGCATCGCTGCTTAGGCAGCATTTATTGCCCATCCCCAATCACCCAGAGGGCAGTTAAGAGTCAACCACATTGCTGCAGGTTCTAAGTCACATGTAGGCCCAGACCAGGTAAGGATGGCAGTTTCCTTCCCTAAAGGGCATTAGTGAACCTGGTGGTTTTTTCCCCCAACAACTGGCAATGGTCATCATGAGTTTCTTAATTCTAGATTTTTATTGAATGCAAATTCCGCCATCTGCTGTGGCAGGATTCGATCCCACGTCCCCAGAACATTATCTGGGTCTCTGGATTAACAGTCCAGTGATAATACCACTAGGCCATCCCCTCCCCATTGCGCAGGTCACCAGAGTTGGGTGCCAGAAGTGCCATGGGCTCTTGTTAAATCTAGATTTGGGTTGGCGGTGGGGCGGTGGTTCTAATTTTTAATATCCAATACTAGAAAGCAACACCCTGTAGTGGTACTGCACTCCCTCAGTGCTGTAATCAAGTAAAAGTCTAAATTTTGGGGTGTTTAAGTCTCCTAGGGAGAGGTGAAGTTTTGAACAAACAACTTTCTGAACATCCAAGCTGCTCTCTCTCGCTGTTGTTCACTCTTGGTCATGAGCGTGCACACACCTCTGGTCGTTCAGTTGCAAGCTCTAAATCACCCGTTGGCCACCTGTGTCAATGATGTGCCTGGGACATGTTCAGAGGACGGGGAGAAAAAAATACCTTTTGTTTTAGAAAGCCAAAAAGGAAATCCAACAATATTGATCTGACCAAGAAATCTGGTAGTCTGTCCCTTCGAAATTAAGGTCTACTCTAGCCTCAGTCACTGTCGTCTTCTATGATGTGTTAATTTGGCGTGAATTTGGGATCTGATCAGTGCTGGTTTCAGCCGAAGGTTGGCAAAAGTATTTTTTTTTAATTTATCTGTTTTTAAACTTTCTCCCTTTTTTTGTTTTCCCTCTGCAGGATGAATTCGACAAGCTTCGCCACTTCTGCTACCACAAGACCGACGTCTTCCTTCTCTGCTTCAGCGTGGTCAGCCCCTCATCCTTCCAGAACGTGACGGAGAAGTGGATGCCCGAGATCCGCCAGCACTGCCCCACCGTGCCCGTGGTTCTGGCGGGCACCCAGTGTGACCTGCGCGGGGACGTGAAGGTCCTGATCGAGCTGGCCAAGTGCAAGGAGAAGCCGGTGCCCCAGGCCGCCGCCCGGGCGCTGTCGGAGAAGATGGGCGCCGTGGCATACGTGGAGTGCTCCTCGCTGACGCAGAAAAACCTGAAGGAGGTCTTCGACTTGGCCATCGTGAGTGGGCTGCGCCACATGGACGCGCGGGCCAGCAGCGAGCACCGGGTGAAAGCGTTAACCACCAAGAAAATGAGGACCTTGTCAAAATCCTGGTGGAAAAAGTATGTCTGCATTGTATGACCATTGTTCATTGGACTTTTCAGGAACGTGGTTGTGGAGGAGGAATGGACGATGCCAACTTTTGGAAGAGAAGAAGCATCTTGCTCTGTATTTCTCATCCTCATGATAAGCCTGATTTTTGTTTTTGTTTGTTTGTTTTTTTGCTGATTTTTTTTTTTGTTTGGCCAATGGTTAGATTACTGTCCCTGCCAGATTTTGAGGGGGTGGACAGCTTCAAATTGCCTTCAGTATCCCCCAGGTGGGGATGTGGCTCAAGGGGTGACACATCCAGAATCTTCTTTCTTTTATTTGAATCGCTTTTGAAGTCAGCCTGAGGGATGGGAAGGAAGGATTCGATCCAGAGAATCAGGTGATGCCTTTCACAGTGGAATTGCTTTATAGAATCCCTCTGGTGTGGAAGCAGGCCCTTGAGTCCACACGACCTGTCTAAAGAGCATCCCACCCAAGCCCATTCTGCTCCCCCAACACTGAACTGACCCTCCCTTATCCCATCCTGTAATCCCCACATTTCCCAGGACTAACCCACCATCCCCATACACTCTGGTCAATTTAGCACGGCCAACGCTCCCTAACCTCGCCTTCTCGGGAGGAAACCCACACAGACACAGGGAGAACATGCAAACCCCATGCAGAGGGTGGAATCGAACCCAGGTCCCTGGCACTGTGAGGCAGCAGTGCTAACCACTGAGCCAACACACTGCCTGTACTCACGCATATAGGTAGCCAAGTGAGAACAGCTCTTCCCTGCCGCCCATGTCTCCCACACCTCAATCCGTTGCATCCCAAACCACCTTACACCCCACTGTGACCCCATTTCAAGAACTGCAAGAATAGGGGCTAGTTAGTTAGCTAGTTAGTGGCACAGTTACTATAACTTGGTTCAAACTGTCAGCAGATGCTAATGACGCAGATTTTGCGCCCCTGATGTTTAGCTCACAACCCTACTTGGGTTCCCAACAACCCCCACACATCCCCTTCTCTCTCTCCAAGGTCTCTCAGAAATTTCCCTCACCCACTTCTGTTTCACCGAATATCATTTTAATGTTAAATAAAAACACTGTAAGTCAGAAACAAAATTAGAAATTGCTGGAAAAGCTCAGCAGGTCTGGCAACATCTGTGAAGGGAAGTCAAGAACAAAGAACAATGCAGCACAGGAACAGGCCCTTCGGCCCTCCAGACCTGCGCTGACACATTTTGCCCTTCCATACTAAGACTGTCTTCACACACAGGATCTGTATCCCTCTGAACTGTTCCGAGGAAGGGTCACTCGACCCGAAACGTTAACTCTGATTTCTCCTTCACAGATGCTGCCAGACCTGCTGAGCTTTTCCAGCAACTTCTAATTTTGTTTTGTCATTTTTAACTTTTTTTTCCCCCCTTTCAACAACAGTTGCGTTTCTGTAGCGCCTTTTCACGACCTCTGGGCGTCCCCAACGCGGTTTGCAGCCAATGAAATAGTTTTTGTTTTGAAGGGCGGTCACTGCCATGATGCAGGGAATTGCCAATTTGTGCACAGCAAGCTCCCACGGACGGCAACGATGGAATGACCAGATCAGCTGCCCTTTTATTACATGGAGAGAAATAGTGATGGAGGGATGGGGTGTGGGGGACTGAAAACGTTCCTTGCTTCGCTTCAGCAGTGGTGACTGAGGGTGGGATCGTTTACATCTACCTAATTTAACTATTATCAGGTGCCAGTCTCTGAAAAGCCTTCTGTAATCAACAGAGGGTTATCTGAAATTCTGCAACAATCTGATTCAAATGTCAGTGCCTCAAATGCTTTTCAAATTCCTCCTTAAATGTCGCAAGGTAGACTCCTGCAGAGACAGACGGTAGTAAATGTTACTGACAGCAAAGAGGCTCTTTTTGTTCTCTTGACACTGATCCATGTCTGAGGCACCGTTGCCCCTGACAACAGCAGACTCTTGTCTGCTCCAAAATGGCCACATCCGCGCGTGTGAATAGATTCACTACTGTTCATGTTTGCCTTTGATGCCGGGCAATCAGTTAGAGAGCAGATGCCTCTTTCTTCCACGTCGAGTTGCCCTGGGGGTGGCGGGGAGCGTTCCAGTTTCTCTCAGTTAGTGTTCCGAAACCACTTAGAAGATTCGCCAGTGTCGCCATTAAAGTAGCCCTGATTTTTGGAAACGGAAACCGAAATCGCTGGAAAAGCTCAGCCGGTCTCTCGACACCCCCAGGGAGAAAGCAGAGTTAGCATTTCGGGTCTGGCGACCCTTCTTCGGAACTGCTTGTAGCTGGGGAAAGGTTGGTGTACAGGCTGAAAGAAACATCTGCTTTCTTATATTGCTGGGTCTTGCAAGGCATCTTATGGTGCGGTGGTAATGTCCCTGCCTCTGACCCAGGAGGTCCAGGTTCCAGTCTGATCTACAATAACATCCCCGAACGGGTTGATTTGGAAAAATGTCAGTGCGTAACTGGATCTTCCCGGGCCCCGGATTTAGATGAAACGCTTGTCAGTCGGCAGGCCGAGTTCCACAAGGTTTGAGATTTAGGCCGGGGTGGAAACGCAGTCTTGTGCTTAATACCCTCTTCCTGTCACTGCTGCCTTCCTCCCCCACCCCCACCCCTACCCCCACTTCAGTGACTGGAATACGCAAGTGATGAAAAGGCAGCTAGTGGCGTAACCCCTAGCAACCGCGGCCGCCCAGTGACAAATAATTGGCAGAGGCCTACAAAGGCAGCCACAGCCAGGCTAAATTTAAGAACGGAGAGCCTCGCAGGAGGTTCCCTCTCTGGCTGCCAGATCTTGCACTGGCTGAGTTTAGAGTCCTGTCACTTTACTATGGCCTGTCACTCGTCGTCATCGTTTTTTTTTTAAATTTTCATATTCTGAGCTGTCCCAGTTGAGGCAGTTCCACAGATTCCCATTGCTGCTAGCAGGCCCCGTTGCTTGGCCACCTAATCTTGCAGCAGGCAGGGGGTTGATCCAGGCCCCTGTTTGGGCCTCAACAAGGGTATTCTTCTGCCCGCCTACGTTTTAAGAGTTCAGGTGAGGCGAGGGCCAATGAGTGGCATGGCCGCTCTGCCAACTTTTCCCATTCTATCTCATCACCCACTTGCTGAGGTCCATAGCCCAGCAGCAATGTGATTGGCGCAGTGCCCGCAGATGCTGGAGGAGGGGGATGGGGGTTGGCATTGGCGGTTGGGAGGGAATTTGTTGGTGACAGAGGGACACAGAAGCATAACTCTGAAGTTGGCATCGAAAGGGTTAAATTCTTTCGCTCTGAGAAGGGAGTAAGTTGCTGGGTGTGGGGAGAATTGGAAACGAGGGCAAATCATAAATAAAGTGGCAATATTTTTAGTTTGGTTAATTTGACTGGGAATACAGGGGATGTGTGAAATATTACAAGACTGAGAGGAGGAGGAATCTCTTCTCTGAGAGGGTTGAGAGTCTTTGAAACTCCTTGCTACAGAGAGCTGTGGGGGCAGAGTCCTTGTGCTAATTTAAGGCTGAGATAGATTGGATTCTTGATCAGTCGGGGAATCAAGGATTACAGGGAGAGGGCAGGAAAGCGGGCGTGAGGAGTATCGGATCAGCCATGATCTTATTGAATGGCACAGCAGTCGTGATGGGCCGAATGGCCTATACCTGTTCCGATTTCTGTGGTCTCGTGCTTCCTTTTTGCGGAAGCTGATATTGTGTAAGTGTTGTGTGTGTGTGTGTGCGTGTGAAGTACAGTTAATGTGAAGATTGTTGAAAGAGCACAATGATTGTCTTGAATGAGTTCACAACTACAGTCTATGAAAGCATTAACTGTGTGTGTTGGAACCATTATCATCCAGGGAACTGTTTCTGTTTAACACACTGCTTTGTAAGTTACTGGAACCCGGTGGGTTCCAATGTGCTGGAGACAAAAGAAAATAAAAAAAAAAAAATAATAATTTTGGAAAAGACAGTGGTCTGTCAGTGTCTCTCTCTCTCTCTCGCCCACGCTCACACACTTGTTCTCACAGTTGTACAAACGGTCACCATGTGTCACAATGTGGTCAGTTTTACCGAACAAATAGGATGTGCATTTCTATAACCCCCTTTTACAGCCACCTGAAGTCTCGAAGTGTTTTGCAACCAGTTTAATTACCTTTTGAATTATGGTCACTGTTCTCCAAATGACTGAGAGGCAGATCAGGGTGCACAGTTATTTGAAGTCTCCCATCCCTCACACTCTCTCTCTCCACCTTTTTAGAATCCCTGCAGTGTGGAAGCAGGTCATTACACTGCCCCTTCGACGTGCAATCCACCCCCTACCCTATCCTCTCCCTGTAACCCTGCATTGCCCGTGGCTATCCCACCTGGCCTGCACACTGTGGGGGCAAGTTAACATGGTCAATCCACCTAATCTATGCATCTTTGGACTGTGGGAGGAAACCCACACAGACACAGGGAGAATGTGCAGACTCCACACAGTCACCCGAAGGTGGAATTGAACCCAGGTCCCTGGCGCTGTGAGGCAGCAGTGCAGAGGCACTGTGCTGCGTACACCTTTTCTCCCACTCTCTTTTATTCCCTATTTTCTCTCTCATTCTCATCAATGTCATCCCCTCCTACTTCTCTATAAGCCTCCAAATTGCCGCGATGTGTTTTACAGTTAAAATGCCTTTCCTTTGGGTGGAATTTAAATAAGATGGTGAGAATTTGTGACCGCTGATGGAGTAAATTCACAAGCGTCAATGTCGCACTCTGATGAAGAGTCACCAGACTCCCAACGTTAACTCTGCTTTCTTCCAACAGTCGCTGTTAAGTTTCTTCAGCAATTTGCATCAAGGCCTGTGATGTGCATAAATGAGATGGCGTTCCTAGAGTCTGCACTGTGCTTTCCCCGGAGCCATGGCAGCAGGGTCAGGACTGAAATGTTAGCAAGGGGCTTTACTGAAATGGGAACAACTGGGAGGCCACGTTATTTCTGCAGGTGGGGCAGAGGTAGTCCACGAAGCAGGGACCTAGCCTGTATTTGTAAATGTAAAAGGGAGGTTGCATTGTGAGCAGTGAATGCAAATAGACTAGATTCAAAATACAGGTGAAATCGAAGGTGTGTTTAAGACTTTAGACAGCGAGGAGGGAGGAGGCGAACCTTCTGTGATTGTTACATGGGTGTATTTAATGTGTGTTTTCTTAGAAGCTCAACGCTCAGGTTAATATTTTACCCAGTCACTGCAGCCACTGTAAGAGCTACAGCACCTTGCTAGTTCCTTGATGAGACGTCACTAACTGGGCTTTATCTGTGTCACACCATCTTTGCAGGAATAGAATTTCTAAGGTTGGTAAATACAGTGGAGTGACCATAAACATGCTCATCTAACGAAATGAGATCAAGTGTTCAGAATTCTCTGACAAAATGCAATTGGGCTCGATTTATAACCAAAACAAAATCTTGAGAGACACAAATATAGAATCCATCCAGTGTGGAAGCAGGCCATTCGGCCCATTGTGTCCGCACCAACCTTCCGAAGGGTATTCCACCCACATTCACCTCTGTACCCTATCCCTGTAATCCTGAATCTCCCATGGTTAATCCACCTAGGACACTATGGGGTAATTTAGCATAGCCAATCCACCCTAACCTGCACATCTTTTGGACTGTGGGAGGAAACCCACACAGAGCCGGGGAGAACATGCAGTCTCCAGCAACAACAAAGGAACGCTGATATATTTCCAAGGCAGGACAGTGAGTGGCTTGGAGGGGAAACTTGCAGGGGCTGGTGTTCCCATATATCCGCTGCCCTTGATGCTCAAGGTGGCTGCTTGGAAGTTTGTGTCAAAGGAAGCTTGGAAGAGTGGTTGGATCTTGCTCAAAACTCAGCTGACAACCCCCCTGTCACTGCCCCAGCCTCCCACAGTCAGAGTGTGAAGTGTCTGTGACTGACTCTCAGTGTTACATCAGGCAGTGCCTTCACCGGACACGCAGAAGAGGGGAAACTGAGTGCAATATTTCAGCTTAATTATCCCGAAAATACATGGACATAAGGTTTTGTTGACTCTCCTTCTTTGAGGCCATGGGCTAGGTCTTGTTCAGGAGAGTGATTGGGTGAGGACAGTCTTGAGATGATATAGGGAGAACTTTATAATTCCTTGTGTGTTCGTGTGAGCACACACACACACAAATATCTGCC